TTTTATTTTAAGTACTTAAAAAAAAAAAAAAAAAAAGAGAGGAAAGAACCTATACTAACCTTCAGAATAAAAATGACAGACCTTTATAGAACAAAAATTCCAAGAAGTTAATGGAGTAAAATTGCTACAATCTGAGAATTAATCATAGTTTCCACAGCAATTTTTTTAAAATGAACATTTAACGTTAAAGTGTTAGTTTACCTGCACTTCCTTCCCATTCCCATAATTGATTATAATGGGACAGCTACTAAATATTTTCCTCCACCACATATGCACTCACTACATTAGATAGTATTTGTTCTGCTTGAGTAGAAGTAGCAAACAAAACCACCCATAAAGCTGCCTTCCTGCCAGTGATATCATAGCCTGTAAAACCTGTGCTGGGAAGGATGTCCTCTATTGAGTAAATGAAGGGCATTTACCAAGTTATGCAAAATGTACATATTTTACTGTGGGTATATAGACAGGGGAAGCAAGATAAAATTTGCTGCAACTCAAGTCAGCAGAATTTTTTGGTTTCAGAAGTGGATACAAGCTTAGTAAGGTCAATGCCTCTTTTGCAATTGGGCCCTGGGTGACAGCAGCACTAAAACCCAAGAGTCAAAGACGATATACTATTACAGCACCAAGGAGCAGGGGAAGAGAGGAACAACTCTTAATGTTAAAAGAGCCAATAGTTTTCAAGTGACACATGAAAATGTTTTTTGATTGAAGAGTGATGATGGCTGACACCTGGCCACCAGAAAGTTTTTGTATTCTGCTGAAGCAGCATGTGGATTACATACATGCACACACACTTCTGTACCCCTTTTTTCTTCAAAATGTGCATTTAGCCACAAAACAGAACACAACATGGATGAAACCTTCGTGAATATGCTAAAATAAACAGACCTGCAGGAGGGCCGCTTGCTCACATCTGCAGGGAAATGGGTGCCCTCTGAGGGGCAACACAATGTTAAAAACTAAATAGATAAAGAACTACCTTTACATGCAAGACTTGTATGTCCAAGACTCAACTAATCTGGGTCTCATCTCATTAAGAAAGTAGAGCAGATGAGATCACCCATGGTGCCTGAACAGGAGGAATAGAGTTGGAGGAAAAAAACAAGGGATCCTTTGTTAACCCTATTCAATGACTGGACATGGTGAAGTTCAGAACATGCAAAAATATCTTCTATTTCTCCAGACTTACTGGGAAGAGGGCTGATGTGGGAGAAGATAACAACTGAGGGAACAGTGTTGATGAGATAGCTGCCACATGATTTTAGAAGGATACAGATGTGGTATGTTAGGTTTGTGGGCCTGATTGGAATGGGAGCAACCTAAACTGTGCTTACAAAATAGAGGCAGCATAAGCAAACCAATATTTTTGTATGCAGCCCTGCCTCTTGTGTTGCTCTGCATCCCTGGGCTGTTTGCATGGGTCCCAAGCACTATCAGACCAGGATCAAGCACGTGGCCCACAGAAGATGTGTCCTGCACAGCTTCTGTTCTCCCTGCTTTCCTTCTCTGGAAGAACAGAATATGCCCTTTGAATACCTCAGAAAGCCTAAGAAGCAAACACACAGCATGCATTTAGCAGCAACGGGCTGCATCTAGTAGACCCTTGTGCAGTCAAACTGAGAAAGCGGACATCCTAAATGCCCTATGGAAACTGTATAATAGCTGAGAGTACTGGAAAACTGGTATGCGAAAATGAGTGTCTCATGTCTATTTACCTATCAAATAACTTTATTTTAAGGACACCTACTTGGTTAGACTAGTTAGACAACAGCTGTCACAGCCATGGAAAGTCAACCCCTGCCGAGGGGGAAAACTGCAAAGAAACAAGGTAATGGACTTCAGTATCTTGTTAGTGCAGAGAATGCCAGACTCCTTACAAACTGACCAGCAAGGAATATAGGTAATAGCACAGGGAACTGAAGGGTCAAAACTTGAGAATATTATGTTCAGTTACAGAGATTCACCTAAAAGACAGTAAGATTCATAAGTCAGAATACTTGAGCCATTATATAGATGGATTCACAGTGGGTAGGAAGCTTGGAGGACTAGACTACACAGCTATGAAGCGTGTCCTCTCTGACATCCATTTTAGTGTTGAACTGAAGTTACAGCAACGACTAGTCTAGATATCACAATTGCCACATCTATAAAACTGCTGTTTCCCCACTGGCAATTAAATTTTGCTCAGGTCAGCAAATAATGTGACTCATAAAACAATGTTGTAGCCCTATACAGAGTCTCCAATGCTTGCTCTCAAGACAAAGTAAAATACAGTTGTGTTCTACTTTATTACCACGACATTTAATACTGACATTAAATTAAAGCCGAGATAGCACATTATTTTGAATTTGCTGAGCAGTTTGAATTGTTCAAGTCTAATATCTGGTTCAGTGAGTACTGACAGGTCTCAATCAGCAAATGAGCCTGTCTTACTGTATTAGGGCCAGTACACAACAAAAAATGGCCCCTGCTCCAAGTAACTTCAGCATGCAACATGCATTTTTTGTGATTAATATTTTTATCTCCTCATGCAAAGATTAACTTAAATTACATGGGGCATAAAAAAGGTGGAGAACTGAAGGAAGCATATTGTAAAACATTTATTTTTCAAACATAAACCACTCACATAATGATATCATGAGTCTCTGCCTTTGGGACTCCTCACTAATGGATCTCGGGTCCTTACAATTTGAAGAATTACATTAAGATGCCAGCCCTAAGACCTACTGAAGGACTCTTCCAAGGAACTAAACTGGTACTTGTGCTGAAGTGCTGAGTGAACTTTAATTTTCCCTTTAACAAATGGACACATTCATAACTATACAAAGTATGTACCAAACTCAATCAATTAGGATCCTCTCTCTCAAGCACCACCTTATGTTTCCCTTAACATTCAATATTTGACTTACCTCTCTAGGCTTTAGTTGATAACTGAAATGCTGCTGTCAATGTTTTAGCGCAGGGGTGGTCAACCTCCGGCCTGCAAGCCAAATGTGGCCTGTGGAGCCTTGGCATCTGGCGCACAGGGCTCCCCAAGGGTGAGGAAATTTGGTGGTAGGGGAACAGTGGCAGTTAATACTGCCACCCCTCCCCTGCTGCCAAATTCCCAAGTTCTGTGCAGCATATTGGACATGGGGTACATCCCTTCCACCCATATGGTTAGATCAGGGCCAGGCCATGCCCTCTTCTTTCAGGGCTGAATCAGGGATAAGCCACATCCTTTCCCTGCCACGGCCTGATTGGGGCTGGGCCAAGCCCCATCCCCCATAGACTTGGGCCATGCCCCCTCCACTCCCATGGGGCCAGGTTGGGCCAGACTGATCCCTCTTCTCCCTCTGTGCTGCCAGATGGGGACCTGCAATATCTGCCCCGGGTGCCAGATCAGAACCACCACTAGGACCTGGGTCACGAAGACACTGGGCACCATCCATCTGGCACACCAGGTAAAAAGGTTGGGCACCACTGCTTTAGCACAAGTCTCTCCAATCTTGGATGTTCCTACAGTTCCCTTCCTGACAGACCTGTCTAGACTTCACTCTTTTCTTAAAGGTCATGCCTACTGAATAACTTATAGGAGGAGGAAAAGTGTAAGTCAGTAGAATGTGGTCAAGGACTTTATGCAGCATTCTACTATTTATTAACACGGTAGAAGCAACAAATTGTTTTAAATCTATATGTACTGTTGTTGATATAGTTTATTACAAAAGGTATCAATAATTGCAATATCAGGACTTCCAATTCATTAGGAGCATTAGAAACCACAAAACATATGTATTGTTAAATACAGGCAGTAGGCACTTCAAAGTCTTACCCACTGGCCCTGAAAAGGCAGAGATCAAAACTGAAAGGTTTAAAGGAAAACTACACAAGCAGAGGAGACAAAGAATAAAGATGTCCCACAGAAGGAAGATGTAGAAAGCGTTTTAATAGAACAAAGCAAAAGACAGATAGCAAGAGTTACGAACATAGGTACTGGGTAGTTTCCTCTGTATGAGTTTTTGCTCAAATCCCAAATTAGGTATTCAAGAGACTATATAGCTCCCTTAGCAAAGCATATTTGAAACTATTTCACACTTGGGTTCCACAATATGCAAATTGATCATCTGCAGATTCCAACTTCTACAAGCATTTCCTCTCTGTGTTTAAAAAGAAATTTACTGAAACAATTTTAGAAGAAGATTTAGAGGAAACAGCCATCAGAAACATATGAAACTTTTCAGGGAAGGGAAGGATGAAGGCAACTCAAAACAGACATTCTTCTGCAAAAATAAAGCAAAATTTAGTCTGGTCTTGAAAAATGTACAAAAAATGTTTTTCAGTTGTGGGAAAATGCAAAAGGAACAAGTTCTAACTACCAAAAACAATCACTAACAACACCAACATTATCCATGTGGAATATTCTAGTAAAATGAAAGTCTGCAGAGATCCAAGACCATTAATGCATCAAACCTCAAAGGGATAATTCTAGATTATATTTAGAGGCATGTTTCTTTCAAGGATGTGCACCTTGTTAGGGCAGTACAACAGTCAGGTACATTTATTGGCTTGGACCATCATAAGAGAACTAGGCTGTCACCAAAAAGGGGTGTGTAGAACACAATTTTTGCACCATCTCCTATAGGCTCTTTTGAAAACCCAAGCTTAAAACCACCAGTGAGAGACAACTATAAACATTTGCTACTCCCCTATGCTTTGTAAAAGTTACAGCTCTTCTTGTATTCAAGAATGTTGTCTCCCATAAACTTCACAACAAGCGACAGCTCTAAAATCCACCAAAAAGGAAGGAGATAAAAGTTACTTGGTAGACAGGTGTTCCCTTTGGAGTATAGCTCTAAATGCATTCATTTCACTGTATTATATACATATGCACATCTTCAAAGAACAGAGAGACAAGTGCTTTCAATCAGTATTGTGCGTATGCTTTAGAAACAGCATACCTGGCAGAAAAAACATGAAGTTTTAGGAAGTGAAAGGTGAATGAATTCTGTTCCATTTACCTTGATGGGTCATAGTGACGGGCTCTTCACTGGACACATTGTTGTAAATGACCACTGCTGTGGCATTGTGTGAAGCTGCTCGCAATATTTTCTCTCTAAAAGTACAATTTCCTCGTTGCAGCAAGGCAATCCACTGCTTGGTGTTTGGTGGAACATTGAAACGAGTTCGTGGATCACAGCCCAAACGATCTGCAACTAAGGGAAAAACATTTATATATTTACAGGTACATTCAGACAGGCAAAAGTCAAACAGTAAAGCAGAAAACAAACAGTTGTCATAGAATCCAGTTGGCTTAAGCAAGAAAGCTTAGACTGTTTTGTTACCGAAGACTAAAACTATGCACATATTTATAGGAGAGGTCCTCCTTGGAAGTATTTTTAACACATAGGAAGCTGTGAATATACCTGAGAATTTGGCTCACTGACCAACTGTTAGATATTCATAACACTTAGGCAGTCAGTATAATGAATTTATATTTAAATCAATACCTGTATGGGAGGGAAAAACATTAGACTATGGTTCAGATGCTGTAAGCATTTAACAAACAGCAGCTTATCATTCACTATGGGCACCATCACATTTTTTCTTTCCAATCATTCCAGCGTAAAGTGTGGCCAGACAGAGAGAAAATAGGATTTTTGGACTGGCTATGCCATGCAGACACTAGTCTTGGTAACTGGTGACTTGTTCTTGGGCTTGCAAAACTTCAGCTGCCCTTGTCAAATAAATGCATGTGCCCCCCTGAAGCCAATTTCAATTAATTTAAAAAGTCACTGACAAAGACATGCTGCAACCAAGTTACTGTACCAGTATGAAAGGATTCTACTATTATAGCGCTTACATTACAGAAACCGCAAATCCCAATTACACCTTTAATTTCAACACCCACAGCAAATTTTTCCTGTTGTGCTCTTTCCAATCTTACTATGAAAACAGGAGTGTCATGCAATTTCTCCTCAGGTTCACTAACAAGATTAACTGACCCACTATACAAAAAGGATAAAAAGCAAGGTAATAATATACAGCTTGCAGTAAAACAGCCAACACCCATGAAAAGTAATTCTGTTCACAACAGGAAACTCAGGCAAGAATATTCAATGCACCTAGAGAATTCAACACAGCAGAACCAACAGTAACTTGCAAGACAGCAAACCAATTGTGTATTTGGGGATCAGTTATCCCTTCCACCTGCCAAAAAAATGCAAGTATGATTGGCTTCCAATGTCAGGTTAGGACCAAGAATTTACTAAAATATATATAGTACAGCTGAGAACTTCTATTTCCTATATTTCTATAACACAGATAGACTGGTGTTTGCTGGAATATACCAAACGCTCTCCTCTCTGTTTTCACAACTGAGAGAAGGTAAGGGGCAGTTATGTTCATTCACAAGATATCCAATTCTAAGCAGTGTCTTGAATAGAGTTAATTACAGCTTTGTCATTTAAGGCCAAACAATACTGTGGATTTGATGTGGCATCCTTAAGATGTAGTGTGTCTCTGGGGTGGAAATGCACATATCAGAAGCTGCAGAATGACTGCACATTTTCTAACTGTGGACAACAAGGACTTCTAAGCCGGGCTCATTTTGTACTCCAGCAATAAAAAAGCCGCCCAAATAAGATTCTAAATACATAGTGACAGCAGTCCACATAGTCGACAATTAACTACTGCAAAAAAGCTGGGGTAGCATTTCTCCTGATGTAATTTACAGATTCAGTGAGGGTGGCTTATATTTGTCTGATCAGTAGCTACAAATCTGACAAAAGGAAAGTCATCCACATCACGTCCAGGTGAGCTGGTATGGAGAGTGGACAAATTTGGGAAATAGCAAAGCTGCTCAACACTTCATGCTAGGCAGGTTGCAGCCAAATACACTATCAAAGAGAACCTGAAGGACTAGACAGACTCTTAATAGACAGGCTGATCAGAAGCTTTATTTGATTAAAAGAACATTTTAGACATTCATCAGACCTCTGCACCAATCAAAATCTGTTAGGCAACAAACTTCCAAGACAATATTACCTAGAAAATGTCTTAGAAAATAGTGAATACAATTATTCTAGGTTAAGATTGTGCTAAATCTTTGTAACTCATTTGTCTCCAAATCATGAGCACAGGTGCGTAACAAATTCTGATAAGTTTTTATTGACAACTACATGGCATTCAGGGACACGAACAGAATGCCACAATTTCTTTCAACCCTTATTTTTTGTTTTATTATATTTTTTAAAAATATATTCAGAGGACAAACTCTTACAGTTAGTCACTACCTTTTCTTACTGAATTCACCAAATTGGGGCAAGATAAAATATCTACTGTACACCTAAAGTGCCAGACATATCAATTTCTGTTGTAAGGGAGGTAGATAACCAAACTAAGTCAGCAAGTATAGTTGTCAATAGTTGTCCATTATCATCCGTCATCTATACTCAGTTGTTCAAAATGCATTTGGGATGTACAATCTTTCACAAGCCTAGAACCTGAATAGATCAGCTGGATGGTCTCCATGACATAATGAAAAGCAATTTAGAGTAATTTTAAATACTAATACAAATCACATATATGAAAAGATCTTATCAGAAGTAATTTGTCATTTCATAATTGTGGAAAATATCAATAGAGAAAGCAATATTTTTGTTTTTCTCATGATAAACAAAGTACCATTATATGAGCTGACTCAGAATAGCAGTTACTTGTCAAGTCTTCCTTGCCCATATCTGTTGCTGTACCAAAACCAACCTGGGGACAATATGAGCATCCTGACAGATTAGGGCAAAAGTCAAATCTGCAACCTACCATCCTCTAAAGTCTACTCAGCCCCACTCAGAAGCCCCTGTGGTCTTATTTTATAAGCCACCCAAACGTCGGCACTTCTGCTTTAATTTGGTTGCAGAAGTTAATTTCATACAAGCCTCTTGATTAAACTGAGGAGCCATGTATGACATTGCATCACGCTTCGCTGTCAAATCATTTGGAACTGCAGTTTCCCCTCTTTCAAACTTTATCAGAATTACAGGAAGTTTAAGTGCATACCAATGGACCCAACTATATGCAATTTCACCTTTTAGTTACAGGCTTTATTACAGAAGGCAGACAGAACCCACATCAGACTGTGAATGACAAGCTGTACTAGTCCAACATGAGACCAATAATTTACTATTTGCTTCTTGTACCGTATTATTTCTATTTCCTGTAAAAGTGAATATTGCAATGCTATTTCGTCACTTTCTTTGGACATGTATTTGCTATTGAAGCTGCTCTAACTTAACAGCACCGCTGGGAAGTATTTAACTGGCACGTCTACCAAGCAAAACACATTATTCCCTGGACACTTGCTTAGAACACCCACTCATTCTGGCCCTGGCCCTGGCCCTGGCTCCGGCCCCACCAATGTGGCCCCCTGGGGGAGGAACACAAGAAGCTGCAGGGAGACCTGAAGCT